GCCATCCCTAATGTCTCACAACACCGAGCCTCCTGTGTAGGCACTGCAGCACAGAAACCTGGGGGGCTGCAGAGGACAGAGTGGGAGGCACGGGATGCTTTTTGCCCTCACCTCTGGGTCTGATACAAGACCAACAAGACCAATCTTCAGCACATGCACAGAAATAATCGGATGTAGAGATTTTTCAGGTAGTGACCAATATTGGCTTCTCCAACCTTTTAGCCAAGTCCCAGGCTCTGCCCCCAACAGAAATTTCCCAAAAGGCAAAATCGGTGTCTCTGATTTCCTAAGGAAGCCACCAGCTAGAATTCCCGGCTGCTGACTGCTTAGACTGTATACTTCCAGATCATGGCCAGAAGTTTCTCTCAGATAAATACTTTCTGGATCATTCCTCCCCTCAGTGACCTTAACATTCAAGAAGCAGGTGGAGATAACCCCATAGAACTTTCTGCAGGATCCAAGGAAAGCTCGGGACTACAGACACAAAGCTGCTGGGAACCAGTAATGGCCTTAACAGTGTCCTTCACCCGCATCTGCTAGAGCTGAACATCTGCCCCCAACACTGCCAGATGTGAACAACTGACTTCCTGACCCTGAACTTCAGCTGAGACAGAGTCTCTGAGCACCTGTATGGTCTTCCCAACTGGCTGACTTCACACCAGTTTCCTGCTGACCAGGGCCAAGAGGAGGAGACAGTAGAGCCAGCACCTGGGGTCACAAAGTGGTGGAAACTGAGTCACAGACCAGGGATCCTAGAACTCAACCAGGCCCTAGAAAGTCGGGCTCCCCTCCTGGTCCAAATGTTGCTATTCACTTCTTTTTCACCGGTTGGGGAATGTCTGGGAAGAAATAGGGTGGTCTTTGAGAGTTGGGAATCTGACCCCTCTCCAAAGCATTTAACATATGCTCCGCAAAACAACTGAGTGCTGAATCTCAAGAGTGTTCAAAAACCAACTTACAATAGCCGGACATGTCTCACCCTGTATCCTGGTTCAGAGTTACCCCCAAGCAAACCTCAGGAGCAGCAGAGCCCACCCAGATTTACAGCAGACAATGATGCAGCCCTGGGGACACATTCCAGCTCAGAAGGCGTCCTATCTGGAAGAGCCCTGACAGGAGGAAGTGACAGATTGGCCATTACTTCAGCCATCCTGTCACCAACACATCAGCTATCTATCCCACTGTGTCCCTACAAGAACTTAGCAGATGAGACTAAGACGTGAGACTGCCTGGCCAGCACAGAGCAGACTTTCAATCGTTGCTATTTTCCTCTCTTCCCCGTGTGACTTAGCTTGCAAGAAGTGAGAAAGTCAAATGCTCAGAGAAGACGGGAGGGTGTGGGGCCACAGAGAGTCAGGGAAAGCCCCAGGAAGAGGCTTTGCTGGAGGGGAATGAGAGGAGGAGCGGGGACAGAAACACAAGGAGAATTCAAGAGGAAAGAAAAGTCTTTGTCAGCTCAGCGGGGACCACAAAAGGGCAGGTCCTGGTACCGATCACGGCTGTGCTGTGTTGACCCAAAGACTTTGGAGGCAGCATTTGAAACACAGAAGCTATTGTGGGCTGAGTGACTCCATTCCCCCAAGTTCAGGTGTTGACATCTTAACCCACCAGCTGACAGTGTTAGGAAGTAGGGCTCTGAAAGGGACAAGGGCGCAAGCAGAGCCCTCCTGAGGGGAACGGTGCCCTCTTGAAGGAGACCTAAGAACTAGTTCACCCGCTCTCTGTGCTGTGTATGCCTCCCAGAGCCAGGCCTCAGCCTGGCCCATGCTGCTGGAACCCTGACTTCTAAGCTTCTAGAGCTACAAAAAAACAAATGTCTTTTCTTTATAGATCATGATCTCCAGCAGCGGTTCTCAGCCTTCCTAACGCTGCACCCCTTTAACACAGTTCCTCGTGTTGTGGTGACCCCCAACCATAAAATTATTTTTGTTGTTATTTCATCACTGTAACTTTGCTGCTCTTATGAATCGTAATGCAAATATCCGTGTTTCTCAATCGTCTTAGGCGACCCCTATGAAAGGGTTGTTCGACCCCAAAAGGGGTTGCCACCCACAGACTGAGAGTCACTGGTCTACTCTCAATATAGTCTATAGCTGTCCCAAAGGAGTAAGGCAGGAATATTCCAAATAAAAACACATTTCCATCTATAGGAAATAAAGAAATTCTAGCAAAACTGCCCATTTGCCACTGTCAACTGGCTTGATAGGCCACTGGCCCCTTGTGGGCCAAGCCTCCTTATCTTTCTGAAACCCAACCCACCTCTGCGCAGGCCAATCTTGGGGCACCACAGCATCAACTCTGTCATCACTGTCTCAGTAATGGAGAATTCTGTCTTTTACACATGCCTGTCTCAAAGCAGGAAAATGACAAATCAAAGGGGTCCCAGCTTCCAGAAAAGTAGGCAAGAGCACGTTTGTACCTAGGGAAGCAGAGAGTGCCTGCATTACTCAATTTCCTCACCTTTGCCTGCCACTAGGACAGTGGTTCTCAACCTGTGGGCCTTGACCCCTTTGGGGGTTGAATGATGCTTTCACCAGAGGTTGCCTAAGACCATCAGAACACACATACATTTACATTAAAATTCAGAACATAGAATTCAGCTATGANTACAGGCGTGGGGTAGAAATGAAAATAATTTTATGGTTGGGGGGGGTCTTCACAAAATGGGAAACTGTATTAAAGGGTTGCAGCATTAGGAAGACTGAGGGCCATCGCTCTAAAAGTATCCCAGCATGCTGTGGGTCCCAATAGGTCTTGCTGTCCACGCTCTCTCCCTACCTCATCCTGAACTCCCAGGAAGAGCGGGTGTACAGAAGGACACTGTAGCTACCAGGCAGGCCTCCGCAATGGGCAAAGTGAGTCCCTGTCTGGTGAGCACAGCGGGATTCCCGCCACCTCAGCAGGGCCCTGTTCGTCCTAGATCACTCAAGGCAACGGCTTATCAAAGGAATCCAGTTCCTAAAAAGGCAGGCACAGGACAGCCTCTGGGGGCGCGCGGCCCAGCCAGACGGGATTGACGAAGGGGTGTGGGCGGGAGAACAGGAAGCAGGAAGAGGACAACAGGGAAGTGGACAGGCAGGTATAAACAGCTGTCCCAGTTCAGCGGCCTCTACCAGCCCTGCCCTCTGCCTTAGGACGTCACCAAGGTGGATGACGCCTGAGACACAGAAAGCGCAAACCTCAGCGGACCCTGCTCGCCCACTGTTGTTGGGCATCTACCCTTCCGGTCCCGAAGTTTAGCTTTTGCCCACCCCACCCCACCCTACCTTCCAGGGACTGCAGTCAAAGCTCCACAGCAGTCCCAGCTCCCCCCCCCCCCCAACTACGAGAAAGGAGAAATGTGCAAATCCCGCCCACTACAGGGCTGGCTTGGAGCGAGCAGAGCGAGCAGAAGGCATTTGCTAGAAGCGGCTGTTTGCTGCTCAGCTGACCCTCACTACAGCTGATAGCGCTTTACAGACAGATGGATGCGGTTTGCCCCTTTGTCAGGATCGGCCCCTTGGATAATGCCAAGCTCCTCTGGGGCCTTGAGTTGGCTAAGCAGCCCATCTCTGTGCAGGTTGCATGTCCCTTATCTGGAACGCCTGAGACCAGAAACATTTCTGATCTGGAAATTTTTTTTAGATATGGGGAATATTTGAATGTCCATATTACAATACCTCGGGATTGAGCCAGAAGTCTAAACACAAAGTTAGTTAGATCTCATGTGCACTTGTACACTGAGCGTGAAGGTAATCTCGCACAATAATTTTAGTGCCTCTGCCTTTTGCCAACCTCCTGTCACATGAGGTCCGTGTGGAATTTTCCATGTGTTGCATCACCTCTGGATTCAAGTTTGTGGTTCTGGAGCATTCTATATTTCACAATTTTGAACTGGGGTGCTTGGGCTGTAGTACTTCAGCACAGCCTGCTGCGTCCTATGAATATGGCTGGAGGTTCCTCAGTAAGTAGATGCATGAGGGCATGTGTGTGTGTGTCTACTTCAACACACCAGCTGCAGACGGACCCCTTGGAGGCCAATGATATTTGAAACCACAACACAAACAGAACAAGCAACAGATATCCTTGGGGGCCTCCCCGACTGTCTATTCTATGGGGAAAACCTATAGCCCACATCCACGCGCCCATCCCCCAGACATCCATGTGCCCATTCCCTGGGCCTCATGTGACAAGCCCTGAGGACAACACTCACAACAGCATCCCAGATCCACCACCAGGCCCATCCTAGTTTCCCGCCAGCCCACACAGCTGCTGGACTGACTAAACATCTCCAGCAGGGTTTGGTTTTGTTTTTATGGCCTGGAATTGAAAGACACTAGATAAGCCCTTACTTCTGGAGACACTTCCCCCAGAAACCCTCAAATAATAGCCCTGTCGAGTCCTTTGCTCTGGGCCTGACCAAGCAATACTAGTAAATTTCTCCCCTCCCATAATGCTAGCCACTGATAAGACATCAAAAGTCCTATGGCCAACATTCGGGAGGCAGAGGCTACGAGTTCAAGGCCAGCCCTAACTCTATAAGAGCTACAGAGAAACCTTGTCTGGGGGAAGCGGGGAGGCCTACAGATTCAGACCTCTGTTCTGAGGAATCTCCAAGGAGCGAAAATAAGCAAGATGTACAGATGAACAGGTCTTGGAAGCTGAAGCAGTCACCCCTCCCAGACCACCCCATGAGCTCCAGATCAGCACCTTAAACTGTAACCAGGGTGAGGGAGGAGACTGTGGAAACATGGCTCCTTCTGGGAGCGCTGCCTCTAAGAAAAGCCCTCAACTACTTGGGATGAAGCGTGGTGACATTCATCTACATTCTCGGACTGTGCAAAATCAAACAGGCCAGCAACTGAGGGAGCAGACGGTGGCTGTGATCCCGGCTGTGACCACAGCAGCAGAAGGTTGCCCAGCAGAGACAGCAGGGAGGCCAGACAGTCCCCACCCTCTCCACCATCCCCACCCTCTCCACCATCCCCACACTCTGCACCAGGCCAGCCGGCAAATCTTACCTTTCAGAGATGCCACATGTGACAGGGCTTGGGCATACGTGGCTGTGTTCAGGAGGGTCCCTGGCAAGCAGGAGGGGAAGAAAGGCCCAGCGGGGCCCACAGTTCGTCCCAGGCTGGCAAAAACAGAACATTCCATTGAGGTCTAGCCTGTCTACAGAGCTACCCCAGACCCACAGTCCTTAGGCCAGCTAATCTTACCTCTGCTGGGCCTCCAGGGCTTCCTTCTTGCTCCGGGCCTGGTCCCCTGGGGGTGGAGAATTGATGTTCCTCACTGGGGGTGGTGTCACCTCTGCCATGGGCTCCTTGGCCCCTGGCTCCTGGTCAGAGGCCCCTCTCTCTGTCTTCCTCCATTTGGCTCTCCGGTTCTGGAACCAAACCTGAACCCCATAGGAAACACACCCAAGGGAGGCAGATAGTCAGCCAGGAGGGGCCAGCCATGACCCAAGCAGGGACCCTCAGGAGGCCCATGCCAGCATCCTCATCTCTCTGCCCCGAACTTCAGACCACAGATGGATCAGCTTCTGACAGGCACTTTTCCGTGACTAGTAAAGAGTAGAAAACACCAAGGGACAAAGGGCAGTCCCCACAGGAAGGGAAAGGGTCATCCTGCAGGAGTTTGCGATGCCGACCTGCCTGTGAGAATGCGAATCTGCTGTGAAAAGTTTTCCCTACAGGGAACACAAAAGCGCGATTTGCAAAATGCTGTTTCCGGAGCTTCTCATCAAAAAGGCACAATCCACTTTCCAGCAGACTCACACCTGTGCACTGCCCTGAAGGACCAGAATCCTTGTGCAGGAACCTGTTCCTGACCAGCCGCCTACCGCACCCAGGAGAAACCCTCTCTCTGGAATCAGTGTGGCTTAGAAATTCGGAATCTTGGTTAACAAACGTGGGTTGGGGTCCAAAGCTGCGTATCCTCAGAGATAAGCAGCCCCGCCATCCCCGTCTCACACACAGGGAGGGTCACTAGCTGAAGTTCACCCAGGTGGTAAATGAAGGAGCCACGACCAGAAGCCCAGCGGCCTGGCTCAGCGCTGGGATCCACACTTCTGTGAAAGAGGGCATTGCTGGACCCCTACGCGTTGTTAGAAAGATGGACATACGGGTAAGCTAGAGCCGAGCACCTGCCTACAGCAACTGGACCCCCGCTAAAGAGTGCTCGCTGCCTCCTCTCCTTTACCCTCGGTGGGAGAAGAGAAGGTCTGTGTCTGACTTTGACCATGGTTTGGTACCCGCCTTAGAAATTAGTGGCAGGTAATTCCTAAGTCTTGGGAGGAAAAACAAAATGCATTTGTCTGATAGAATCTGGGCAGTTCCTGCGCAAGAGGCTCACAGAAGGCAACAAAAGCCCATGGATCTTTTCCCAGAGAAACTGCCTCTCTCCTCAGTTTTTCTGTCTAAAATCTAGGTTTGGCCAGGCTCCTCTCTAACTCCCAGACACAGTGTCCCACCCCCTCTGGACATGGGGCACTGACATGGGGGAAAGAGCCAGGTCCTTAGGGTTGAGTCCTCTGCTGGCCCACCCTATCTCTTCGTTTTCTTTCTCCTCCAACTGAATTTCTTTCTTTCTTTCTTTTTAAAATCATGTTGGCTTTTAATTGCACATATCCGCAACCATTGAATAATGATTTTATCTATATTCTAAATTTAGGGCAGTTAAATGCAAAGCAAAATGCAGACACTTTCTTGGGTCTTAATTGAATGAAGGTCACAGCTATAACAACATTTAATTGAGCTATTTTTCATTATCATATTTTAATGACTTTGCACTGACAGTTCGCCTGCTTCTGAGGAAGGAGCATGATGGAGTCGTTTATTTCCCTATTTAGTTATTGTTTGACAACATCAGCTTCGATTAAGACCCTGCTTTAGAGAACATTAATCATATTTGAATGAGCAAGTGGTAGAAGTGTAAACACATCTCCCTTCCCGCCACCAAAGCTCTTGTCCCCACATGGAAGCTGGCTAGGCACAAGCTCGGCTGCCATTGTCTGCCTGCATAATAGCCAACAACAGCCTGGACAACAATTCTCAGCTTCAATTGTCACCGCCCCTATCTTACCCTTGCACCTTCCAGGGAGAAGTTATGATCTTCTACTTCTGAATGCTCAATAATTGTGTCATTTATCTCAATTTGCAGTCCAGTCTTTAGGCAGCTATTGGCAAGCTGGCATTAAAAAAAGAAACTATAGACGAGGTCTGGGCCAAAGAACATTTTCATTCCCAAATAATAATCAGTTTAATTTGCCCGCATATGACCAATGATTCATGTTCAGATTTAATAATCAGGATCACATAATCTGATTAGAGGGGAAATAATTTGTTTACAACCCCCAATTTACTGCTCAGAATTCCATTATCTCTCTTCAGCCATTGGTTTTTAAGAGATACTAACATGACCCAGGGGAACAGAAAGCAAACTATTATATTTCCTACAATTAGATCTTTGCATAGTCTTAACCCCAAGCTCCTACATAAAAAGAACAGAAACAGCATGGAGGAAACCCCATAAATAAAATGAATATATAATTGTGCTCAAAGAAGAACTGGCCTGGAGCGGCAGCATTGTGAGTCTGCCTCCCGTACTCACTCAAGCAAGGCCGCTGGGCTCGGCACTTAAAAGCAACTTCCAGAAACGCAATGCAGCTTAGTGGCTGCCACCCCCGGCCGGCCGGCCCACCTCTGCTCAGTCCGTTCGCTGCTGCTGCTGCTGCTGTCTAAAGATTTTTAAATTGCACGTGTTGTTCAGGCCCACTTTGCTCAAAGAGTCCGTGTGCAGGGGAAAAGTTGGGCATGATGCAATTTCTGGAAAGCAGATCCTGCCCCCTGCTTCCCATCTGAAAACGTGGTTCTCTGCAATTGACCGGCCTCACCCCAGAGCGGTCAGATTTGCTTTGCGAATAGCATCTCAGCTTCTTTTTTTTTTTTTTCCAAAGCAAGGAAATGGATGTGCATTGATGTAATTTAGTACCTTAGAGACGCGGACAAATTAGTGTAGAACATTATCACTAGTTAATTATGAATGACCGATTAATCAACCTAATCTAATATTCCACATTATGTTGATGTTATTAAAGTGCATCATGAAAATGACAGATAGTCTTCATTTGCTTTCTTTGGCCAAATGTGCACTCTGCAGTCATGATGTCAAAAAAAAAAAGTTTGCCAGTTTTAATATTAGAGAGTTAAATAATTTAAAAGAAGGTTTACCTGCACTCTGGCTTCTGTGAGGTTTATTTTCATGGCTAGCTCTTCTCTGGTGAAGACATCTGGGTAGTGTGTTTGGGCAAAGACTGCCTCGAGAGCTTCCAGCTGGTAAAAAGGGGGAAAATGTTTATGGGTGAGAGGCTGCGGCTAGGTGAGGGAAATGACATATATTTCAGAGTTGCCAGCAGCGGCGAGGAAGCAATTTCAAAGATCAAATCCAGGAAGGAAATGGAGAAAAGAGCCATCTGAAAAGATGCCACAAAGGCCTGGAAGAAGGCTCAGCTCGTACAGGCTCCTCTGAGCCCGAGGAACGGAACGTGATCCCAGAGGCACGTACACGGAGAGAACCAGTTCCTGAAAGTTGTTCTCTGACCTCTTCATGCACACAGTGGCATGCATATGTCACACTCATATATATATACAATAAATGAGTAAAATATAATTTTTTAAAAGATAAGGAAAATTCCACAGAATGACAGTTTAAATCCCAGTAGATTTTGCAGCCAAGGCTGCTCACAACCACAGTGTGCCCTCCTCGAGACACAGAAGTAGCCAAGTGACGGAGATTTCCGTGTGTTTACATTTATTTTGTCCTGGGAATAAATAGTCTAGGGTGGCCTCATAATTGTCATGGTGCCACCATGGGAGTAGAGAACTCTCTCACAGGTTCCACTCATGGAACCCTTGATGAGTCAGTCCCACAGAGCTTTATAGGGGTGTGGGGGTCGCCTTCACTCTGCTCAGGAAGGAGGATGCTCTTGGGGCACTCAGCTCTGGGAAACCCAGTAGGAAAGTTGTAGCTGCGGCCCAGTCATGTTGTTCATGGTCTGCTCATGAGTCAACCTTGTAGGTCAGTTTCCCCCGTCTGTCTATTTGGGGATAAGAACACCCGACCTGAGACAGGGTGTAGTAGTGTGTGCTTTAATCCCAGCACCTGGATCTCTGCAAATTCAAGGCCAGTGGGGTCTACAGAGCAAATTCCATGACACCCGAGGCTACACAGAAATACTCTATCTCGAAAAAAACTAAAAAAAAAAAGCCCCACCTGCCATCTGCTGACAGGGAAATGTGCCTCCGATCATCTAAGATACATGGAAAATCTCACCGCTGCTGTTTTTCTGATCCTCCAGAGTGACAAGGCCCAAGTTAACTACCCTTTCCCCCAGCAAACAAGTAAGTTATTCGGGAAAACAAAGACCTAGTTAAATCAACAGTTGGTCTCCTTTTAAAAGGCAAGGGAGAGTGAGTCCTCTGTGACTGTGGGGGAGGTGGGAAGAAGCTGGCTCTCACACACCGGGAATCTGTCCTTACTTGCTGAAGGGTGAAGGTCGTCCGGTTCCTGCGCTGTTTCCTTCGAAGAAACCCATCATCGAAGTCCCCTGTGGAGTGGTTGCCAAAAGGTGCGGTGCCTACAGGGAGTGAATGGATCAGTCTGGGCAAAGAGACCGGGGCTTCAGACCCTCCTACCAGCAGCAACCCCTTTTTGTGCTCCTCCCCAGAGAGCCCATCCTTCACATGTATTTCTCTGCGTTCTCTTAGTAAGACCCCTCTTTTTGTTATCCCTAGCTCTGTGTCTCCCCAAAACCTTTAGCTGTAGGAGCAGGTTTTCCTATTGCATAGGACAATGGTGACCAAGATGATCAAGTCCCCTCCCTGTGACACTGTGATCTCTGAGTCAGGAGGGGTGAGTGGGCCTGAGTGAACTCTGCTCCTCACCTGCCTTCCTATTCCTGGCTGCCTCTCTGTCCCCTATCTGCTCACTGCCTACCTTGAACCCTCTCACAGAAGCCTGAGTTCCTCCCTTCCCCCGCCTGATGGCTTACTCCCCTTGTTACTATAAGCACCAATGGCTAAAGGCTGGAGAAGAAAAAAAAAAAACACCAAGATATTTTCACACCACTTTCCTTCTAGAAGTGCAGAATTCAAGGAGGTAAGAAGTTTATAAATGATTATTAATTACTCCTGGTCACAGCTCATCAGTACCACAGGAGATCTATTGCATAGACAGCAATTAACAAAAGGCCTGCACCAATAGAATGCCAAGCCAGCTTGCTAGGACCACTCTCCAAGGGCACTCCACTAGGTAACCAGGCCTTACACAACATCCTGCTATCCCCAGTTGCCCAGAAAAGGAAAGAGATTGTTGTCGCCAGCAGCCTCCAATGCTCACAATAAAGCCGGAACAGAATCTGGCCCCAAACGTGCATTTGGATCATTTTCCAAATGTGCACTATTTACTTGATAGTCCACAATGGCTTCTTAGGAAAACAAATGAGTAGGTTTCCATTAACCAGTGCACATTTCACCTGCCATGGGTCCTGCTGTCTGAATCACCCAGTGTTCAGCACTGGCTGTCGGGCCACAGCATGCAAACAGCATTCTTCACCAGCACCTCAGCCCTCGAAGGCCTAGAAGGTCTTTTCATATTCCATATACCACAGAGAGTCCCACTGAGCAATATCTAACCCTACCCCCACATGTCTCATCAAAATACTGCCCCCCTTCCCTACTAGAACTTTCTCCCGCCGTCTTCCTATCCAAATTGCATTCTTCCTCAAAACCGTAGAAACAAGTATTTCTTTCCATCTTAATAGCAGGGACTGATTCAAAGCAGTCTTATTTTGCAGAAGGCCATATTTTCTCTTTTGGATGTCAAGTGTTTGACTGGTCAGCATGGACCACATTCTCAGATTTCTTGGTCACTGTTTCCCCCAGTCTCCTCCCTTATGCCTTGCTTCAACATTGTTCACAGTGCTTCCCAGCTGAAGCCTACAAAAGCTGACTTCAGCAAGCCGGGAAGAAAAAGACTGATAACTTAAGAACAAAGAAAAAGAAATGAGAGCGGCTTCTTGAAAGAAATAAAATACTTGATAGAGTTATGCACAGCTCCTCAAACAGAATGGAACAGGACAATGAAACAATGTACTCATTGTTTGTCCCCCCCAAAAAGTGCATAATGATACCCAGAACCAATAAATTGTAATAAATTGTGCATGTTCATTTATTATTCATATGAGCATCAATTGGCGAAAGTGTATTAGAAGGCAACTGAATAGTCACCATCAAAAATTTAAGTGCACAGGTTTTTAATCCATGAGTATAGTTATAAAGTTTGCTGAAAGACAGAGGGAAGAATGTTCTTGGAGATGTCATAATAAGAAATAAAGCAAGAAACAGAGAAAGCACACATTGGTGGATATATTCTGCAAAACAAATACAGGAATACTACTCAACAGTCTAAAAGAAAATAAGTAAATCCGTATACACAAGCATGGGAAGAAAGATCTCAAAGATGTATTATGAAGTAAAAACAAAGCCAAAGTCCAGGATGATGAGGCAGCATAATCTCGGTGCAAAAAAGACATAACAGGCATGGAATGATCAACTCTGGGGATGGAATCCTAAGAGACACGCGGTATCAGATGCCTTTAAGTGGGGGAGAGGAGGGCTTTGCTAGCCAGTGTATGGGTTCTTGTTCGTAAAAAAAAAAAAAAAAACTTTGAGACCCATGCGACACGCGCTAATTAAATCTGAACAAAGTATCAGAGAAGTAAGATCGCATTCACACTTTGTTTTTTTTCCCCCTTTGTACCTCCCTAGAGTCCAAGGTCTATCCTCAGCCATCCTCAACTCTCCCGTCTACAGCACATCAGCCCCAGCAACCCTGACCTAGACATAAACTCCCCTCCTGAAAAACTGGCACAGTTTACACCTATCAAAGTCTGAAAGTTACTTGAAGCAGCCTCCCCCCTTGTTCTGGTCACATCAATCTGAGTCAGCGTCCTTGGGGGGGGGGGCTGCACAGAACATGAGTAGCAAGTGTAAGCCCCCCAGGAATAAGCGAGGAGCAGTAAGCCGAGTCGGAGAGAGCGTGGGCTAGGGCATTCTGTAAATCACTTCTGTAACCCACCCTTACAAACGGGTTCTCTCTTAGGTCACCAGGATGTACACAGCTTGCTAAATGCCCAAATCTCTTCTTTTTCCACTTGACAAAAGCCTGGGCTGGGTACCGGCCATCAGTGCTGATATTGGAGTCTACGGCACAGAGAAACGACACAGCACAAACCAGCAGGGTCTCTTTCAGTCCTGGGGTATAGTTGTCGAGAATTGCACCTCCCCTGCCTGGGTCTTCCCTGGTGTTGAAATGCAGGCATGCAGAGCTTAAACACTGCTTCCCACTAGCTTTCTTTAGCAAACTCTGCTGGATGTTTAAGGGCTTTTATAGGGAAAATGAAAACAAACTCCCAAATCATGAAAGAGACTGGAGGTTACTTAAGGCATCCTGCAACAAGGTGGACAAGTGTCCCAAGGTTATTAAAGTTCCATCCGGGCCACAACACTAGCCAGAGTGTGGGGCTGCATGCCTACCTGATGGCCACAAATCTACACGGCCAGGGAGAATTCACCCTTGGGTCCCTCAGGTCCTGCTTAGGTACACCCGGAGTCGGTAAGTCTTCACTTCTCACTACCCCTGCCCCACCTAACAACTGGGAGCAGACACAATACAAGGAATAGGGAAAGGCTTTTTTTTTTTTTTTTTTAAGATATAAAGACCTTAAACAACCAGACCCTGGTCCCGGGGCTGGCGAGAGTGAACATTTGTAGTCAGAAATTCCGTGGGTCGCTGAGATGAAGCTATGCCTAGACACTCCCGGCAGGTAACCAGCAGGAAGCTGGCCTCCAGGGACAGCTTTGCCGCTGTAAGATCCCGGAGCACTGGAGCACTATCGTCAACGCCCTGGGTGAGGGCAGCCTAGCAAACAGGCCCTCTCTGGCGTGCGGTGGAGCCCAGGACGCAGCGGGCAGTTGAACTTGCTCTGGCTTTCTAGGATGTTAGCAAAACACCGTGAAAGATTGATGCGGGCCCCCTGGGTGGAGGAGCCCCGATTAGAGGCGTGACACCAGCATCTGTGCTGGGAGGACCAGGCGTCCCCGAGGCACCCATAGCCCGGGGCAGCGTGCGACCCAGGCGGAGAGAGAGGTGGGAGGCAGGTGGCACCCGGGCGGAGGGACGGAGCTGTGTGTAGGGAGGGGGCTAAGGGCTCCCCTAAGCACTGCCATGCGGCTGCCACCTCGTGGGGCGAAGACCCCCAACACCCATCAGTCCTGCTGCGGGCCGGCTGCTTTTTGCTGGCTTGGCCTGGCCAAACAGCCTGGAAAGCAGCGCTTACTTACCCTCTAGCTGTGGCGGGCAGTGAAAATAAAACATCGCCGACGGTCGGATGGTCCCGGACGGCTGGACCAGGGCTGGGGGCGGCCTGGCAGACCTGTTCCTGTGCGTGGCTCCGGCCTGGCTGCAAAGCATATAGCAGTAGAGCCTGAGTCTCCTGCCCGCTCACCCCGAGGATCACCAGGAGTGCCCCGCCTTCCAAACCCTTCCCGAAGCCCTTGGCCCCCTGGGGCCACCGCGCAGCGGGGGAGGGGGGTGTTGGAGGGAAGTGGTTGCACCCCCAATCCCAAGCCGTGACCCTACGGTCAGCCTTTCGTGTAGGTCCGGCTGCTGGACAACCGCGCCCTCACCAAGCTGGGCACAGTCTGGCTCCTGTTTCTCAGGGGTCCCGGCCGCAAGCCCTGCACTCGGCCACCACAGCGAGGTCAGGCGATCGCGCAAGGCCATCTGCACGCGCAGTAGCTCGGGCCAAGAAAGCCGATGGAGCCCCAAGGCCCAGAGCAGGGAGCCGGGGGAGCGGGTCGGGAACCCTGCCTACCTCTGCGGGAGGCGGGCGAGAAGGCCCGAGTGTGATCGCCTCTTGTCCGCACGCGGGGCTCGGCTGGCGGCGGGCGGGGCTTGGCGCTGCTGGCGCCCGTAGGACCAGAGAAGTGACTGGGGAAGTGGCCAGATGTCTTGCTGTCTGTCTACAGCGCGCGCCGCCGCTCAGCACTCGCCTTTATAATCTCACGCATAATTGGCCTTAATCTGATTATTTCCAGCGCTGTCTACAGCGAGTAACTTGGATAGGTCTATTGGGCCTTACAAATGGCCCACGTGGTGTAAAAAAAAAAAAAAAAATCCGTCACTTCTCAGCAAACATCAGGAATCTTTTTCTTCTTTTCTTTTAAAAGAAGATAGAAACAACAGCTACTAATATCATCTCTCCCCAAAGAGATCATGTTCTAAACACTCGCCCCAACCCCACCCCTCTGGGTCCCCTCAGACTCAAACCTTCTTTCTCTGAGTGAGATTGGATTTGGGCTCGCCCTTGTCAGAGGCCTGGCGACTTCTGGACTGCAAAATTATCAAAGCGCTGCTAATTGTCGCCGCCGGATGGGTTTTGGGGGTACTCTTTGCACACGGCTTTCCTTTCCAAGCGATCGTACAAAAGGAAAGTTTGATTTTGTTCTCAGCAAGGGGTCCCTGAATTTATGTTCGCTTCTCCCTGCAAATGATATGCAGTGGGACCCTTCGCAATTACTTTTAAAATGCATCCGAGGCAGACACTCAGCGGAGAGAGACCGCCCTTCTCTCTGCCTGGGTGAAAATTAAACTCTAAAGTACCGGGTTGAAATTTTCAAGTCAGGGGCGCGGGATTGGATCAAATCACATAAACTGCAAAAAAAGCAAGTCTAATGGCGCATAATTGGTTCTGTAATAGCATTACACCAGGATAATAGCCCGTTACGGCCCCCTGCACTATTAAGTGCTTCCCTGGCGGAAAGCCTTTATGATATTAAAGGGGGAATATAATGATATTTTGGTTATTAAATGCGTGTAATTAATTTATGCACCACTGAAAATAAAGTTGGTATTATGACCCACTCAAGATGCATCAGAAAATACGAGTCAGACAACTGTTGATAAGTTCTGGTGTCTGTGTTCCGTCTAGACTGCCTATTTTATTTTGGGACGATGGCTTCTTGGACAGACTGCATAAATTGAATATTTTATAAACATTCTAATGCTGCGTTTGAGAGGCTTGGCGAAGCGGTGGGTCGGGTCCCTGCCCGGCCTGGGATTCAGCCTTGATCTTAAAGACACAGAGCTTTGGAAACAAAAGACCTGGCGGACCCACTCGTGGACAAGCGCCCGGGGCGAGTAGCGCGGAGCTGGAGAACTGAGTGTTGAGGCCCTGGCCGGGCGATGGACACCCCAGGGAAAACAGCCAGGAAGAAACGCTGTGCCGCCCAGGCCGACTCAAGTCGAACCTCTTTCACTGAAATGGCCCTTTCTCGGCTCAGTCGCCTCTGGACAGAATCGGCCCTGCCAAGAAAAGGCTGGAAATCCCTTTTCGGCTTGAAGCGGACAGACCCCGCCGCGCCACCTCTCCTCCAGGGCCACACACTCCTAGAGTCGCAGAGTCGCGGCGGCGGGCCCGGGTGGAAAGCGCGGGCGAGCCGGGTGGGCCCCCGCGGTGGATGGCGCGGCCAGCGGGGCAATGCACAGCTTCGAGGCCGAGAACAGACCCCTTTTCCGTCCCACGCTACTGCTGGCTCGCGGGCTCCCGCTTCCCTCCAGGTCCGGCTCAGAGAGCACCCCTGTTCTTTGCAACCAGTTCCAGGAGCCGAAGGCCCCCCGAACTCCGGAGTCTGCCGAGAACCTTCTCGGACGCCCTCCTTCCCACGGCTGCAGCTTCCGGTGGGCGCCCTGTGCGCTCCGGGAGTCCAGAGCCCGAGAAGCGAAGTAAGTCAGGGTTGCCGGCCAGCTCGGCTCAGCGCGCACTTGCGTTATCCGCGGCCCCAGTAAACTAGCGCCGACTGCCACGTTGGCCCCAGAAAACAGTGACTTCCAAGCTTCGAATCAGCTCCCTGTCGCGGACAACGAGCCGCGGAGGTTCCTATGAAACCCTGACCTGTCCCGGGTCGGAGCAGACTCGCCCCGCGTGTCTGAGCCTCTCTCCGAATCAGCCGACTGATCAGAACCTTGGACAGCGGCAAGCGTCGTAGCCCTGAAAAGCGTTTGCTGGCCAAAGAAGTCACCAGTCCCCAGGGCCCCTGTGGAGTCCCACACTGAGCCGCGCCAAGACCCGCGCAACCGATTCCAGACGATCCTAATCCTCTCCTGGTCCAAACCTTCGAAAGTTATTTGGGATGCGCGCTTAGTGCTGGGAGCAGGAAGAGAACTCCCGACTCGGAAGTCTCAAATGCACAGTGTCCTACCCGGTGGCTACAGCAGAGAAATACCCCATATCCCCCTTTCCTCCCGGTCCGGCCCTCTAAGCCCCCCTTCACGCGAGGCTGGCCATGTCCTTGGCTGGACAACCAACCCAGCTCCAGAAAAACACCCACCTTCCGAGGGGCTCCAAGTCAGCTCGGGACCCTCAGCCTCAATTCGCCTCATGTCCCTTTTCAGTAGCTATTGGGCTGGGTGCGTTCCTATGACAAAACGGAGAATAAACAACTAACCAAACAACTGCAGAAACGGAAAAGCTACAGTAAACTCTGATGACGTGAACCCCTTTCCCCCCAGTTGCCTCTGATACTCGGGGCCCTGGAGAAGGTGACTGATTGGTATTCGTTATGGTCTCCCTTTACTAAAAAAAGACGGGGTGGGGGTGTGAGCTAGGAAACTCTTATTTTTCCTTAATTCTTGCGCGGTAAAATGTATTTCCCAATTAACTAAATTTGCCGATCTGTCCCGCTTGGACACTCTGATAATTTACAACCTAAAAGTGTACTTTCTTTATCTAAAGACCAAGGTGACTGCTTTTAATTTTCTCTAACCTCTTTACACTTGATGTTCACCAGACTCATAATGTTAATTGGCTTCATATACGGATCATCAGTTTAATGAAGAAATAAATCCTGTGTTGCTTTATGTTTTAACAGTGATTGCTTTAATGAGGAATGTGACGTGTTCCAAAATCAGAGCTGCAGGAGACATTAGATGGGACTTCTATTAGGACAGAAATGCTTATTTAAAGTTGAAACACGGGGTCATATTTCAACTCTTTTCTATCCGGGTCCTCCCCACCCCCCAGCTACCCGGGTTGCTTCCAGCATCTACAAGGAGATACTACTGTGCTCCTGGAGGCTTATTCTTGTAATATTTAACTCCATCAGTTTCAAGCTGCCTTTGCTATAAGGATCATATTCTGGTTTTTGCATAGGGCATGCTAGCTTACCTCTTGTCCAGCAGGGCATAGAGAAGCCAGAATAGGGTGGGGAGATCAACTTTCAAGGTTGTTCATGTTTTTTTAAATAAAGGAGGAAGACCACACACACACACACACACACACACACACGATTTGCATCCAGATGCAATCTGAATCACAAGATGTGATTCAGAGAAAGCTTTCCCCAGTGCAAACATATTCATAGCCCTGGAAATCCAAGGCTGAATTCCTGAAAGGCAGACAGCTCCCAGAGTAGAGGAGTGGGCTACTGATGACCAGGGCTCTGCAGGAGAAGTGCTGGCCTCCTAGATGGTAGGAGCTTTACATCCCCTATCAATTAATAGAAGAGTAAATCTGCTTCCTCTAATGTGTGTTTGATTTTTCTAATTTTAAATTGGTTCTATTGAAGGGAAAGCTGTCATTGCAAAAACACTGAGAGCAGCAATAACGTTCTGGAAATGGGAGCATCCTACATGCAAGACCTCGACTGTTTGCAGTTATGTTGTGAGTCATTTTAAATTGATTCCTGGAAAGAATCCTATATACCTAGAAAATGGAGAAGTTTGGGGTGCTGGTTTGAGATTGGAAGCACTTCTGTGCACACCTTGTGGTCCCTAACCCATGAGTATATTCTGGACCGAGAGCTCACCTGTGCTCAGAAGAGATATTGTTAGCTTACCTTTTAAATATTATCCTTAGAAAAACCAATTCCAATTAAACACCACTTAAATCCATAACAATGGGGGCAAATAAAATACTTTAATTGACCAGGAGAAAAAGAGAAAACACAATGAACTTCTAACTACTTACTTTTGGAGAGTCTAAGATATTTGCATTGTTATTTGAATGATAATCTTAGAAACCTTGTTTCAGTGTTATCCTGAGTGAGCTCCGGAAAGGGAAGGGAAGCTCAGGGTGTGCTCCATTGTGTGTTTAGAGAGAATGAGCATCCTTTCTACTTACAGGCAAAGGTGGGGTTATTTTGTAGTTTTGAAAATGGCCAATAAAGCTTGGGTCAGCTATACGTGGTAGAATATGCTTTTAAAAAAAAAGTGGCTAATTGAAATTCTGGATGAACGGTTAACTTATGAACAGGGTGTGCGTATAAAGGATTAGTTGTGCTTTTTTCATTTTAGAAATTCTTTGTAACTCACAAGTT